CCCGGGTGCCCATCCATCCCACAAACACTGGGTCCGTGGATCCCGCTTCTTGGGCTCAAATTGCTCCCAGCCTGTCTGGAGTCACCAAGAAGACTGGCGGCGAAGATACAAGTGACCGACACTGGGAGGGAGGCACTGTGACACGAGGGGCCCCGTCCCCCTTGGGAACAGACCCGGGAGGGTGCATTAGGGCTGTGAATGGACTTAAAGGTGTAAGGACAGGAAGGCCATCAAGGTGGCTCAGAGCACAAGGTCAGACGGGACAGAGGGGCACAGCGGAATGGCAAAGGACACGCCCCAGGTGAGGCGGCCCGGCCTCTCAGATCCCACGCCGGCTGTGTGACCGGGGCAGGCCGCTTAGCCTTTCTGAGCCTCGTCCTCCACAAGCGGGGTGACAACAGGACCTATAGGGCAGCCAGCAGCCAGCACGGCGAGAACACCCACGTAATGCTCGTGGCCCCAGGGCCTGTTGGGGGGAAAGCACCGACTTGTTCCCTCTGGTCCCGCGCAGACTGGGACTGCCGAGGGACACGGAGGCCAGGGGTTGACAGGGGACTGCTCCTGTCCCTGTCAGAGTCACACCTCAAGCAGGAACGCAGCCTCCACCCCCCACGTTGCAGAAAACCTCATGGATTTAAGTGCGTGACAGGCTGGGAAAACCCATTCCTGCCATGCCCAGCCAGCCCGGGGCCATGACGTCAGTCTGCCGTCTCGCCAGCAGGTGGCAGCACAGCAGCAGCCTGGCCCCACACTTGAAGAGCGTCCGGAGGGAGCTGGAGTCCATCAGGGGTCACTGAGGGGTGGCCCGAAGGCCCAGATCTCAAGGGAAAAGCTTGGGCTTTTCCCAGGGGCTCCGGCAGGGGTCGGGGTTAGAGGCAGAGATGACAGAACAAAGTGAACTTGGATTCAGCCAAAAGGCCTTGTTAGGGACCCACCGTGGGTTAAATCCTAGCCCGCTAGGGCCTCGGTCTCCTCACTGCAGAGGTCTAGCTGCTGGGCCCGGGGTCCCCCCGGCATGCCTCCCACGGCCAGCCCGGCACATCCCGCCCACCCCATACACAGCAGGCCGGCCTTAAAAGGCAGGCCAGCCTTCCCACTTGAGAGGACGAGGCAGAGTCCAGAGAAGGGAACAAGGACCAACTCACCAACGGGCTAATAATAAGCACGGGGGCCCCGAGAGGAGAACCCGCCTCCCGGGTCACTGCCCGCGCTGGCACACAGTTCAGGTGACCTGAGTCCGGGGACAGAGCAGGAGTCCAACAGTCATGAACAGAGAAGGCAAGAAAAATCCCTGTCATCCCAAGGGGCTGTGTGAGAAAAGTTGCAGAACAGGCAAGCAATGCCCATGGGGGGTGATGTGGGGACTGAACAGGAGGGGTGACGTGGGGACGGTGAGGACAGTGGTCACTGCACATAAGAACAGGCGGCAGGGACAGTGAGAGATGGGGACAGCGGTCACTCACACAGGGCCGATGATCACAAGGACAGCACATGCCTGTGTCTCTCCCAGCCCCGGTTAGCAGGTGCAGAGAGGGGACAGACCCTGACGGCGGGGACACTGCTTTTCCCACTCGGGCTGTGCCACCCTGGGAAGGAAGCTCCACCAGGGCACCTCTCTGCCTCTCCGCACCGTGTTCCCTCCATTCCTGGAAGTCAACGTGCTCATCCAAGCAGATCAGCTGGGAGAAGAGCAGCTCACTCTCCCCACTCTGCGTGAGTGACCCTGCCCGCGGGACGGGCCTCCACGCTCCGTCACCTGGCATGCGGCCCCAGGCACCCCCACCCCGAGTGCACAAGCCTCAACACCCGTACGCAGGGCTCTGGAAGCAGGTCCTCTAAGGTCACTCTATTAGCAAACGGTGCCCGGCCATGGCTTCTTCTGCACTGTATTCTTCAAATTCTTTGGAACCTCACACAGAGAGGACAGCGCAAGCCTCCGAGGGCCCCAGATGAGGTGCGCTGGCTGCCAGCAATGGGAGAACAGAGAGGACGTTGGGGGGCTAAGTACACGTGGCGGGAGACTCTGGTGGGATCGCAGCAACTGTGTGTGGCCTTGAACTGCAGTGTCGGGCCGTGCCGTGACCTTTAAAACTCGGGAACACCTGTATCGGGGTAACTTTTAACCACCCTGGCCCAAGCAGGAGCTAATTTAAGACCGACACCAGGTGGCAGTCAGAAGCTGGTGGACGCCTGTCCACGGACGCTGTCGCCATGCGGGTGGCTGCTTCTCTAGAGGCAGCGGAACATGCTGGGACTTAAGGACGTGGTTTGGAAACCACACTAAATGGCTTACTCCAAACGCCTGGCAGACCGTAAGGACCTGAGCCAGACGGCAGGCAGGCCGGGGGGGTGGGGGAGGAGGCTGGGCAGAGGGTCTTTCGTGGACTCCAGGGACTTTGGGGCAAGTGCAGTGGCCACCTCCCCCGCGCCCACCCCCAGCAGAGCTGGAGCAGATTCCGAGCAGCTCCGGGCTCCAGGCTCCGGGCACCGAGGGCCACGTGTGCTCCACTGCACCCGTGAGGGGCCGGCCTTCCAAGAGGCTTGGGAGGGAGCTCCGGTTCAGCTGCCCGGGACTTATTTGGGACACGACATTCCTGATTTCCCCCGTGCACCTCACCCTGGTCTTGTCCCATAATCTCAGTGCGGAACCTCCGACTGGGCCACGCAAGCGGACAGCGAGGCTGAGCGCTGAGACGGGAGACGGGAAATAAAATGAGAAGTGTATCTTCAGACTCGGGTATGGAATCGTCTGGGCCCGGATCTAACTGAAGTACTGATGGGGCCCATCTCCAGCTTTCCGGGTGCAAACCCGCACTGAACTCCCGCTCTTGGTCCCGGAAGGGTCCCCCGAGAGGCCACGGACGGCAACAGGAGAGCCACCTCGGGCAGGGCTGCCGACTCCACGGACAAGGCCCCAGTGCAGTGGGTGTGGCCCGGGCTCTCCCGCCCCGGGGAGTGGGGGGGGACATATAGAAGGGCCCCTGGCAAGCTGGGCCCCCCAGCTTGACTCCTCCCTCCCCAGACGAGCTCCTGTACAGAGCACGGCCTGCCCTTAACCCAAAGCAGGCCCCGGTCACACAGCCGGGAGCCGGGGGCCCAAGCCTGCCTGCCCCATCCTCCAGGGCAGCTGAAGGCCCACGAAGCCACAGTCCCCACTCGGGCCTCTGTCCCCGACAGCAGGACTATCTGGGCCTCCGTTTCTACTGTTCAAAATCCCGGCAGGAAGAGAAACGCTTTTACCTGGGGAACTTCTCAGGACGCCAACGACGTGCTGAGAGAGACGGGGTTCTGAGCTGGAAGCCCCGGCTGCCGCCCTGGTGCGCCCTGGTGAGCTTCCCCCACCCCGGCCCCGCTCCTCCGCCCGTGGGCAGGAAAGCAGGCCCAACCCACGCGGTTATCGTGGGGACCGGGGGCATCGTGCACGAGGCACACGCATGCACGGGCAACGAGGGAGCCACTGATGGCACCGGCCGACACACTTACGCTTGTCGTTCATGAACCTCCGGCAGAACTCCTGGAAAGTGCCCCGGTAGCTCATGGTCCGCAGGGAGCGGTGGAACTGATAGTAGGACACCACCAGGTCCTTGGGGTTCCGAGCCATGTATATGACCTGTGGCGGGAGGGAGGGACGGCTCGGTCGCTGCTCCTCGGAGCCACCGCACAGACGCCCCACCCCCCACCCCAAGATCAGCCCCGCTCCAGCCGAGGACACCCTCCCCCTGCAACGGCATCTGTGTTACATTTCCGTCCTGTACCATGACTCCAAAGGGACTGGAGGACAGAACCAGGCCGGTCCGGACACTGCTGATGAGAATCAGAAGCGTCACGAACCGAGCACACCAAGAAAGTGAGGAAAGTCAGAGACCGTGAACGCGGCCGTGGGTCCTTGGCCTCACGGGACCAAGGCTGGACCCAGGCTGGTCAAGCCCACGTTCCGCTGTGAGGAAAAGCCTAAATGAGAACCATGGATAAAACGCTAGGGACAGGAGCTCAAAGCTGGCCTCCACCGCGTCATAGCACGCCTGGGCCTCTGGGAACTCAGGACTGGGACCTGAGCCCTACGGGACGGTCTCTGCTTGCTGGGGGCTCCGCCAGGAGTGGGGGCAGGAGGGTTACCTTAGAATCGCCATTGTGGAGATCGGAGGGCAGGAAGCGGTAGGGGAGGTGACTCTTGATGAGGCGAGGCGACGTCAGCTCCTGCAGAGGGTCAGAGGGAATAGCGTTCAGAGGACACACGGCTGCTCGCCCGCCTCAGGACCAGCAGCGCACCTGACAAACTTCTCACCCGACATCTGGCCACCCTCCAGACCGGACGAGACGTGGTCCCTGTCCTCGGGCACCCACAGTGTGAGCCAAGCTATCACGGGCACAGGGGTCTGCTCAGAGGGCCTGCCCGGGCCGTGAAGGGCAGAGAGGAAGCAGGAGGCCGAGGTGCCCAGGGGCGCCTGCTGGACCAGTCACATCAGCATCGGGCCTTCCTGCTGCTCCTGGAATGTGCTAGGCCCACGCTCCCTGCTGCCCGTCCCAGCGTGCCCGCGTGGCTCCTCTCTTGGGACCTTACTCAGCCATCCCCCAGAGGCGCCTGCCATCCTGTGTGCTGTCCCACCTTGTGCCCTATACGGTATCGCCATTAAACCCCAGGTTCTTGCTCTTCCTCCCCTCTGGTCTCCCTCGCTAGAATGCAAATTCTCGGAGGGTCATGACAGCCTTGTCCGTTTTGTCCTCGGCTGCACGCCAGGGTCAAAGGCAGGGCCCCGCAGGTGGTGGGCACGGCGCTACAGAAGGGCTCCACGGAGGAGTCGACACGGGTTGGATCCGTGTGGCCAACACTGGGGTGCAGACGCCCCGGGGCAGCTGCGTGAGCACTGGAGGCCGGGGTGCAGGCAGAGGCCGGCTCCCACAGGACTCTGGACTTTACTCGGAGAGCAGTGAGAGGAGGGCGGGGCGCACCCTCGGAGCTGTATTTCAGAATGCTCGTCTGGAGGCAGAACGGACGGGCAGTCCACGCAGGAACCGTGGTCTGGGCTGAGAGGTGACGGACAGGAAGGGAGGCTCCATCGGAGCACTAGGATAGACTGCACTTCGGGCTACCTCCTCCACTCCCCCAACAGACGGGGTGAGCCACGCTGGGGAGCCCCCTTTCTACCTCGAAGTCACCCACGACACCCACCGCTCCAACCTCACCGTCACCGCCTACCTCGGGCTCGGGCCTCAGACTGTCCTGGCTGTCCCCTCTCCCCCCAGCCATGGGCCCCCTGAGCCCCTCAGGAGCAACTGTCACTCGGGGACCCCAGGGAGCCCCAGGGCCTGGGCGCTGCTGGCCCAGAGAGTACCTTGATGATGTCCAGGCCCGGCTGCGGGTACTCCAGGACCGGGAGCTGCTCATCGATGTTCATCAAGCCGATCTCATCAGGGTCGGCCCCCTGGCTCACCAAGTAGACCACCTCCTGCAGCAAGCTGGTGCCTGGAGGGAGAGAAGCCCAGGGGGCGGTGCTCAGAGGAAGCCGGAGGGCCAGCCCCGCTCCCCAGGCCGCACCTGCTGCCCAAGACCGCACACGTGGCCACCAAGGGCAGAGCCCCGGTGAGCAGGACGCCCAGGAACAGGCAGGACAGGCAAGCAAGAGCGCCAGCACGGACGGGGTGACCCCTGGGAGAAAGGTGGCTCCGGGTGCCTCTTCTGGCCCCCGTGTGCGGACCCCACTCTGCACAGGCTCTCAGCTCCGGGTCCCCGGCGAGCCCAAGGCTATCCCATCACGATCCCACCTGACCTCTCAGAAGAGACAAACACAGCGGGCCGGTGCCTCTCCTCAAGACCGTGGTCGTCTTACTCTGGCGGAATCGGCCTGCTGCCTGCTCCCCATCCCCCCACCCTGAAACGCTGACTGCCGAGAGCACTGCCTCACACCCCTGCCTGCACTCCCCAGAGGGCCTCATGCCGTCCCCCCACCGAAGCCAGCCCCACGTCGCACCCCCCCACCTCCCTGCTCCTGTCAACCCAGGACACCTGCCGCCTCATGCTCTCTCTCCCCGGGACGGCGCGGCCCCAAGAGCAGGCAGACGGCCATTAGCCCCAGCTTGCTGCCCCTGTTGCCTTCTCACTGGGTTCACACCACCAAGGTGGAGTGAAGATGGGCTTGCCCCTCGGGGCACCTCCAGAGCTCCCCCATAGCTCTCTGCCGCCCCACTCCACCTTGGCCACTTCTCACCCTCCCTGCTCAACAAAGGAGACCCCCATTCCCAGCCTGGCTGCCAGATTCCACCCCCCCCACTCCCACCGCCATATTCCTCCGGGGGGCCTCCCATCTCCTCGGGGTAAAGTCTTCCCCACGGCCTGCAGGTCACCTCGGCACTCCCCCAGCCCCCCTCCCACCCCCCCTCTCGGTCCACTGAGCTCTACTGGCTCTCCTGGCAGGTTTGAGCGTGCCAAGCCCACTCCCCACTGTCTGCACTCCTGGCATGCCTGCCTGCAGCCCTTCCTTCCTCCCTCTCCCAGGTCTCTGGGAGACGGGCTCCTCTCTGACCGCCACGTTTAACGCTCCCACATAATTCCCCTGCCCCTGCTTTCGCCACTCGGGACAGTTCATGCTGTTTCCTGGCGGCCCCCCCCCCCCCTGCACTATAAAGACACAGGAGCTTTGCTGCAAATTCAGGAGAGCCGGCACTCTGTCATGAATTAAGATTCTTTTTTTTTTTTATTTTAAAAAAATTTTTTTTTCAACGTTTTTATTTATTTCTGGGACAGAGAGAGACAGAGCATGAACGGGCGAGGGGCAGAGAGAGAGGGAGACACAGAATGCAGCAGCTCCAGTTCGTTATCACCAGAAGCCTGACGCTGGGCTCGAACTCACTTTAGACCGCTGGTGACCGGGTGGACCTGGCTGGTCGACGCGAACTGGCGCCACCCAGGCGCCCCTGAATTCACATCTTCTGAAGGGACGGACAAACGCTGGCTGCTGAGTGATCAGAAGAGGACAGCTTGGTCAAGGAAGACTTCCCAGAGGAAGCAGCTTCGGAGCAAAGGCACTGAAGAAAACAGCGCGGTGGCTTTTTAAATTCACACAGAAGTAACTTCACCTCTTAACCCACAGGATCCTCCCACCAACCCGAAAGGGGGGGACCATCACCCCCACCTACAGATGAGGAACCTGAGGCCAAACCGTGCCCCGGGTCACACAGCTGGTGTGTGGCACCCACCCCATTCCTCCTGGTGAGGCCCGTTCACCCGACAGCCCAGGGCACCTGCACCGGGGAGTCCACGCCCTTAGAAATCAGCGTGGGCAGAGTTCCCAAAACGGGCCTCTCCCAGTGACATCTTCAGGACCCATTTTTAGTGCCCCCACAGGCCAGGGCCCGGACAGACGTTCTCCGCACGTTACCACTGACGAATCAGTCCCCGAAGCCCCATCCCGCCTCCCTAAATACCGACTTGGGAAGGCTGGCCACCTCGGAGCCGGAGGAGGCCCTGCACCTGCCTCCCCGCTGGCCTGTCCCCAGGGGCCCCTCCAGCCCCTCCTCGTCCACTTCCCGGTCAAGCAACTGGGCCTGGCCTTTCCTAGGCCTCAGCACCAGCTACGGGGGCCACGCTGCGCACCTCCCGGCACATAGGACACGGTCAGCGGGCAGACCCTGGCCTCTCCAGGGCCAGAGCCAGCTGGCAGGAGGGGACGGAACGGTCACAGGAAACCCCAGCTAGAGAGGACGGCAACGACGACACTGGCCAGTCACACGTGGTTCCAGACACCCCTCTCATAAGCCCCTTCCCGAAGACCAAACTCAGCCTCTACCGTCCACAAGGGTCCGGCCGGGCACCAGTGGCACGCACGCCTCTCCCTGCTGCCCGTCCTCTCCATGTCCACTGCCACCACCGGAGGTCCCACCACCCAGCAGGGCCCCGGACGTCAGCAGGAGCCCAGCAGGCCCCTCCACCCACTTTCCCGGCCACCACGGCTGCAGTGACCCTTCCACCTGCCGTGTCCCCGTGGCTCTCGGCTCCTGGGGAGCGGCCCCCCTGGGCCCTTCTCCTCCCTCTACCCCTGGCACTCCGGACTGTGGCCGGGCCTTCCAGCCCCCTCCAGAGCTCAGCACCCTCGTGGCCCCAGCTTCACCAGGCTGCCCTTCTGCCTGACCAGCCTAGACTTGGTCTTCGTTTGGGCCACTGGTCCCAGAAGCCTTCTCGGACACCCCTATCTCATCTGCAGCCCTCCCCCAACCCCACAGCACCCCGTCCCTCTGTCCTACTAAACCTGGTGCCTTGGTGCGACCGGCGGTCTTGCGAGGACAGAGAACACGTCTTAGTTATGTATTAGTTTCTACGGCCGCCGTGGCTTCAAACGACAGTCACCGTCCCGCGACTCCGGAGGTCAGAAGGCCAACACAGGCCTTGCTGGGCTCAAATCAGGACGTCAGCGCTCCCCCTGTCCAGCTGGAGCCACACTGCTTAACCCCGCCTCCTGCCTCCTCTGCCAGGCATCCCTGTGCACACACGGAGCTCCCTCAGATAATCCAGAACAATCTCCCACCCGAAGGGCAGCTCTGGCAACCTCCGTCCTCCCCCTCCACGTAAGGCGAAATACCCACAGTCTCGCGGATTAGGACGTGGATACTTCGGGGGTCGTTACTCCACCGACCACACTCCCATCACACTCCTAACACGGCTCCCGACACAGGCGAGGTGCTGAGTAAGCACACGGGCCTGGCCTGGACGACGGAACGAAGACGCTCTAAAGTCGCCCCCACCCACCTGGGAAACGGGACTGGTCTTCACCCACACATCCTCCAGACCCAGGTGGGCTCTCCCCTGAGACCCTCCCGGCCTGGGCACCCCAGCTCGGAGCGCCTTCCCTCGCTCTGGGACACCCCCTCAGTGGAGCCACGTGTCTCCCACAAGGGATTAGCCCACAGTCCTCACTTGGGATCTGGTGGTGGCCACCCGAGGGCTATTCCCCCACATTTCCCTCTATTCATTCAAGAAGCCTGCACGGAGAGCCGGCCCGGGGAGTCCCTGCTCCTCCCCCCTGGAAAAACAGGGCAACACCCCTCTCTTCTTCACGGGATGGTCGGGGTCAGGGCCACAAGGTGACCTCCTCCAGGCCAGAGAACCTCAAGGCAAATGAAGATCTCTCCGAGCTTCCAGCACCACGACAGGCTCCACTCACCAGGGCCACTCACACAGGAGGACACTGCACGGCCTCCTGCCCACCCAGGCCACCCTCGTCCCGACAAGGGACACAAGCTGTCAGGCCCCTCCTGTCGAAACCACGCCCTGGGCGACAGCTACATACAGCTCACTCCTGCACCAATAAGGCCACGGAATCCCCCCCTCCACCACCGTGGCCTCCGAGCACGCCCAGCAGACACGAGGGCAAAGCCAGCCCTGTTGAAGCCCAGCCTGTAGCCTGCAGGGGAATGGGGGACAAGGCACTGCTCCGCTCCGGCAGCCACCGGGCCAAAATGAACGCGCGCAGGCAGGGGTGGGGTGGGGCCTCGGCACCCCCAACCATCCTCCTGTGGTCTGAGGCCTGTGAGGGAGGCGAGCACGGGAGGAGCCCCGTAGCAGGGGCAGGCTGACGGCCAGCAGACCCAAGGTGAGGCAGAGGAGAGCCAGGCTTCCAGACCAGACACCCGGGAGGGCCGGCCGGGTGGCGTGGCCTTCCCGGCGAGTGACACGAGCCACACGCTTCCCAACAGCTCCATTTTCGAGTCAACTGGATGCGATCCTTTCCAGAAGCGCTTCTGCCGATCCCAGCCAAACCGCGGCTCGCACGGCGGAGGTGTACTCTGACGCTGGACCTCTGGGGCCAGACCCCTAGGACGTGTCTGGCGTTGTGGGCGGGACTCCCCAGGAATCGAGGGCCCGCCTGTCACAACGCGGGGGGTGGAGCCCATCAAAATTCCCACCCGAACTCTGGGGACAGAAGGAACCGGCACTCTGGTGAGAACCGATCGGGCCTGGGCCCCAAACCACCGGGGCCTTCTTTTATTGTCACTTTCATCACTTCCGAAGGTCAGACGCACACTGGTCTAAAAAGTCACAGGACACCGGAAGACGAGTAACAGAAAGCCCAGTTCTCCTCCTGGCCCCAGTCCCACCGAGAGCAAACCCTCGGCTGGTTCTTTTACCCTCAAATGCCCAATGTGCTTAGACAGCTCTCTCACGATCCGTGTGATTTCCAGGGTCTACTGATTTTCAACTGATGAGGACAGGCCCTGGCCAAGTTCACTCCCAAGCTTCCCTCCTCCCAGTGTGGCCGCGGCATGATTTTCGGTCTTCCCTAGAGTTTAACTGAGTGTTCTGCTCGACACACACTGTATCATGGTCACACTGACTTTCTTACACAGGACGTCGACTTTCCCAGAGTAAATCACTGCCTTCGCTTGCTTGCTTCGCTTTCCCCGCAGCCATTGGTGATTCTTTCCGGGACTCTGTGGCAAGCCCTCTGGGACGCTCTCAGTCCTGCCAATTCCGCCGCCCCCTCCGCTCTCCACGAGCGTCCTCCTGGATCTCCTCGGGCCGGTGCACCTCGTCCTTAATCCGTGTGCCCTCCCTGCCGTCTTCCCACGCACTGGCTGAGCCCGCCTCCGGCTGCTGCCTGAGTTGGGGACCGAGCAGGACAAGCATCCGTGCCCACCTTGCTCATGACCGGAAGCTTGGCTGCGCACAGAATTCCGGGCTGGAGAGCGTTTGCCCCAGAAGTGCGACAGACAGCACGGTGAGAACGTTGAGTTCCCGGGTCCCACGCCTTTGAACGTGCCCTGTTCTGGCTCTGGAGACTAAGGCCTCCTCTTCCTGCTGAGACTCCACAGGGCCTCCGGCCTGCTTTCACCCACTTGTCGTATCAGACACTCGGGGGCTCTCCAGCTCATGCCCTCAAGCTCTGGACATCCCAGTTTCCATAGTCTTCTCTCTTACATACACTGTTCTTTTTCTGGAACTCCAAGATCTTACCTTTTTTTTTTTTTTTTTTTTT